AGAAGAAGATTCAGCAATAATGACTGTCCTCAACTTCAATGTGTTGAATGAGCTGGATCAAACACGTGGGAGGCAGGCTTAAACAGTTATCTTTTTTATCTCTTTTCTTTCTCTCTTTCCCCCCAACCCCCTCCATTTTGGTTTTGTCACCTAATCCTTATGATAAGGAAAAACAAGCTCAAGGAAAAACAAAAGGAGTTTTCTCACCAGGCCTCTCTGGGTTGGTGTAGGGGGGTCACCTCTCTAGAAGACTAGGTGGCCCCAGGACTTCTTAATAGTGGGTTAGGGGAGAGAAGGGGAGGAGCTCAGCTTGAGTGACTCCTGACTTCATATGTCCAACTGAGCTTAGTGACTCTTTTGGGAGTATATTTTAGATAGCCTCTTCAAAGTTTCAGTACCACGATTCAAAAATCAACTTTTGGGTTCCTCTTATATCTTGTACATCCTTGAGGGTCTCTGTGTATGTTTTTACTGGCAAAAAGGCAAAATGAAGAAACCGTCTCTCGCCCCACACACCCCAAGCTAAGCTTTCTCACTGCTTCTCTTCCTCAGGTGCAAATCGGTAACCCCTGTGAGGGTTCTGAAGGAGCTGGTCCTGGTCCTTTATGGTAACAACAGGCTGACCCACCTGAACTTGAGCTCTAACAACCTGGGAATTACTGTGTCCACGATGATTTTTAGAACCTTGAGACACTCAGCCTGCAACCTCAAGTATCTGTGGTAAGCCTTTGGTTTCCCGGATCTGTTCCCAACATCACCCCTAGGTTTGATGACTCATGGGGAGAGTAGGAGTGAGCATGGCAGTGGAAGGATACAGAGAAAGGTTAGCAAAGGGCAAAGGTACATGGGTGTGGAGCAGTGGTTCTCAAATTTTAATGTACATCAGAACCACCCAGGGGGCATGTTAACACACACATTTCTGGAACAAACCCCTGAGCTCCAGCAGGTCCACTGTGGGGCCTGGTAATCAGCATTTGTATCAGGCCCAGAGGTGATGCTAGACTGTGGAGTCTAGCTACACACTTGGAGTAGCACTGACTTGGAGGCCATTCTGCTTCTGGAAGGGACAAGGAATGCCAGAAATCAGCTTTTGTTCATGGAGCAAGGGGATCTCTAAATGAAAACCACTCTGCCTGGGACTAACTGCCTGTCTGGGGACCTCTTTGATAGGTTGGAATCCTGTGGCCTCACCTCTGTGGTTTGTCGGTGCCTCTTTCTGGAGCTCAGCAAGAACTCCAGTCTGAATTTCCTCAGCCTGGCAGACAATGACCTCTCTGACATCCAGGTGAAAGGACCGCAGAAGCCCTTTGACATGTCAAGGTGTGCCCTGAAAGAGCTGTGGTAAGTCTTCCTGCTTTGAGGGACAGAGTAAGGGCGGCAGTGGGAGTATGTTTTGAGGAGCCTTGGAGATTCCCCTATTGTATTTACCTATCCTGTTAACACATTTCTTGTCATCTTCATTCTTCCTACAATTCTCCATAGGCTTCAGCGGGACTGTGGGCCTCTTGCCTGCTAGCCTCTTTGGTTTAACCCCTTAGGCTTCTGCCAACCTTCCTAAACTCAGTGGTTTTCAACTGGGAGTGATTTTATCCCTCAGAGGACATTTGACAATGTCCGGACACATACTTGGTTTCCACAGTTGGAAGGGGAGGATGTTTCTGGCATCTAGTGTGTAAAGACCAGGTCTGACCAACATCCTACAATGCACTGGAGGGCCCCTCACAACCAGAATGACTTGGCTCTGGAGAACCCCCTACAACCAGAGTGATTTGGCCCAAAGTTCAGTAGGACTGAGACTGACAAACTGTACTTTGACCTACCTCTTTCTCCTTCTTGAAGCTTTTGTTTTTACTTGATTGAATTTTGCCATGATGTTGGAGTCCTAGACTGTGGCCCAACTGAGGGTTTGAGAAAGAAAGAGAAAGAAGGATGGGTATAGCTGAGGCTAACCTTTCATCTGCACCTTCCTCAGCCTGGAGAAATGCAACCTGTCGGCAGCCAGCTCTGAGGGGCTGGCCTTGCTTCTCACCAGCACCGAGAGAACAACTCGGCTGTGTCTGGGGTTTAATCAGCTCCAAGATGACGGTGTAAGGTGGCTGTGTGCTTCCCTGAGTCAACCTGAGTGTGCCTTAGAGAGATTGGTGTAAGTTCCTCTTGGCTCCAGTTCTAGAAATGAGTCTCCAGGAGGGTCGGCACTGGGGAGAATTATGGCTCCTTCACTGGGGACCCATTTATATCCTTGAAAACTAACACGCATTGAGCAGTTATTCCACATGCTAGGCAGTGTTGTAAAACACAGATTCTGAGTAGCACCCCAGGTTTGTTGAATCAATTACTGGGAGGTTGGGCCAAGGAATTCAGTTTTAGCAAGGACACCAGGAAATTACGGTTGTCTTAGTCAGCCCAGATCTGAGCTCCCATCTCCAGACACAGAGCTGGCTCTAAGGTTGGGGTGGGGGATAAGACCAACACGCTTCCTGCCTGCGTGGATGATGTAGTTTCATAAGTTACCAAGAAAACCCGACAGTAGTGCAGAAATGAAGAACAAAGAATGAGTACACAAAGTGTTAGGGTTGGTTTCCCAGTAAGGTGCCCACTCACCATCTTATGTGAGGAGGCGATGGTTGCAAACTTGCAGAAAGGATAGAAGGAAGCCATACACCGAAGGGATAGGATGGCAGGAGTAATGTGAATGGGGCAGGGGAATGAGAGAAGATGAAGTTGCAGAGGCAGGAAGATATCTGGAATACGCCAGGGCAGTGTAGGAATCTGTGTTTTCTTTGGGGTGAGATGAAAAGTCCTCTGGGGGTTGAAAGTTGGACAGTGACATCTCTGAAAAGTCACTGAGGCTGCCCTTGAAGGATGGACTCCAATGTGGGCAAAGGAGGAGCAGAAACAATTCCCTGCAGACCAGGCAAGATGGTATAAGGAAGTCAGCCCCATGGGGTGTAGAATTTCAGGGCATGTTGGAGGGTAGAACCAATGGGACTTGGCGGTGGATTAGAGGTGGTTTAGGAAGGAAAGGAGCCCAAAACCCCTGCAAGTGATGGGCTTGGGCAGCTAGGGAAGTGGGGGTGTCATTTTCTGACATGGGGAGGAGTAGAGGGAGAGCAGCTTTGGGTGTACGGAGTGTGGATTGGGACATGGGAGCAGGAGGTGCCTATTCATCAGCCATGTGGAGGTGTCATGAGAGCAGGTGTACATGGAACTACAGGGCTCCAGGGGGTTACTGGTCTGGGATGAATGTCCATTTGCAGTGTGATTACGCAGATCTTTTCCTTGTTAGCCATGTCTGCTTCCTGGTGAGGGTGTGGAATAGATGGAGAGTTGAGTTTTCCTGGGGTCAGATATTGTGCAAGTGAGTATAAAAAAATGGAGAAGGGGGCTGGCCGAGTGGCTCAGTTGGTTAAGAGCTCACTCAAGAGTTTGAGCTCTGAGCAACAGCGGTTCGAGTCCAGCCCGAGCTGAGCAGCCACTGAGCTGCCAATAGGTAGCAGGATGGCTCAGCTATAAATCTTAAAAAAAAAAAAATGGAGAAGGACAAGGGCCTGAAGGCATCCATGGGGGCGATTATGGTGAAAGACTATGGAGTCTGAGTCTGGGAGCCAGAGGTTGGCACTCACCTAGCACTGGGTCTCAAGAAACCAGAATATTAGTAAGAAGTTAATGCAAATATAACATGAACTGATATACATGTACAATTATTTGTTGTATTTATAATATAGTCTAATATAATATATAATATAATTAGCTATGTTATAATTATATTTATATACTTTAATACATAATTTATGATGCCATATTTAATATTATAAATAAATATATAAAATACATTTTAATAATATATAACATATGTATTAATATATTTATAATCATAATATATTCTCCATATAATTATAACATTAAATATAACTTAAGTTATATTTAATAATTTAATATATCATTGCATAACCATATTATATGTAATATGTATAATTTATATAAGATTTATTATGTTATATATGTAATACATGTTATTATATATCTCTGTTACATAATACCTATATATCATATATGTATCTATAAGATCTCACATATTACATGTAATAGTATATATAATTTATATAACATGTAAGATTTGTAACAGAATATATTACATGTAATATCTATTATATAATGCCTATAGATCTATATATATATAAAATCTCTCTATGTTGTATATCTCCTACCACTTGTAAGTACTGTCCCGAGCACTTTGCATGCATGAATCATTGACGATCATTGCTTGTGTGACAGGCCACCATAGTCTCCACCTTAGAGCAGCAGAGCTGAAGGCTGAAGGAAGGACACAGGTTGCCAACAACAGTTAGTGACAGCTGAGTGGCATCTGAACCCATGACTGGCTCCAGAGCCTGAGGCTCATCCCCAGCTCCCTCAGAACTACTGAAAATGTTTTTCCTCTATTAATTTTAATTTTTGCTTAAATTTTTAAAAATTCTCACATTAAACTTTATTTTTTCGACATGTAAAAAGCTGTACATACTGGGGGTGCCAAAAAAATGTACACAAGTGGACACTTTGGTCAACGTTGTTCAAGCAGTAGTTCGCCATAATCAGAAGTGTGTGGACACTGATGGTAACCACTTTGAGTACCTCTTGTAATTGCATAAGTCAAATGTAACTTTTACGCATCTATTGTTATCATTATATAAATATATTGAGTATTACAATTTTAATAGTTTTCCTTTCTTAAAATGTGTATACATTTTTTTGGCACCCTCTGTATTTAATGTGTACAATTCAGTGAGTTTGGGGATAAGTTACACCTGTGAAGCTATTACAACCATTCAAGGCCATGGGCATATCCATCACCTCCCAAAGCTTCCTCCTGCCCTTTATTATTATTATTACAGTTGTAGTGGTGGTAACACTTAATATAGGATTTTCCCTCTTAGCCTATTTTATGCGTAAAGACAGTATTATTAGCTGTAGGCAAGATGCCATATAGATCTCCAGAACTTATCTTGCATAACCGGAACTTTGTACCATTTCACCATCATTCCTTTATTTTTGTTTGAAACCCACTCCTAACTAGATGGTCACATTCTTGCCATGCTCATTGTCCAGCCTGGAACTGGACAGGACAAGTAAACACACACAGATGCTCAACACATCCCAGGCTGGGGCCCAAGGAGAATCTATGGTGAACTTGGGGGATGGGTGCTGGTGGCTTCTGCCCCAGGTTTGGGCTGCCTTCCCAAGCATCTGTCTGTGGCTCTCGTCCCCAGGCTCTGGTTCTGCCAGCTTGGCATGCCCAGTTGCAGGTACTTGTCAGATGCTCTCCTCCAGAACAAGAGTCTGACGCACCTAAATCTGAGGAAGAACCACCTAGGAGATGAGGGGGTGAGGCTTCTGTGTGGAGCACTGAGTCATCCAGACTGCAGCCTGCAGAACCTGGAGTAAGCTTCATGCCCCCCTCTCATTTAGTGGGTGGTGGGAGTACACTGTGAGTGGACCTGCAAAGTCCTGAGTCCCAGGTGGGGTGTGTGTCCTGGGTGTAGATGTGATTATTGGCATAGAGGAGCTTTAGGTTTGTGGGAGGTGGTGGGTAGGGGTACCTGTGTGGGGGGGAACTGGGGTGACTGTTAAGGACCAACCACAATGTGTGTTGGGGTCCCCAAGACCACCCTTGGGTTTGATTGTTCACTAGGAGGACCCCAAGAACTCTGCCTGCAGTTGTGTTCATGGCTATTACTTACTACAATGAAAAGAGACAAAGCAACATCAGAGGGAGAAGGAGCATTAGGCAAAATCTGCAGGAAGCCAGGTGTCAGCTCCTAGGAACTCACTCTCTATGGTCACCCAGGGCCATCTTAATGCCCCCCGCAATGAGCTGTGTGACAACACATGTGAAATGCTGTCCAACAGGGAAGGTGTGACCTACACACTCAGTGCTCCAGATTTTTTACTAGGCTCTGGTCCTGTGCACACCTCCCTAGCACATTCTGAGATTTCAGACTTCTACGAGGAAAGCAGGGATTCAGCATAAACGATGTTTGCGCAGTTTAGGCACAGTGAGTCACTTTTATCAGGGAACAGGGAAGCTCTCCTGGAATCCGCATTCCTGGACGCTAACCAAAGGCCATCCTCATCAGCAGGACTTTCTAAGGACAGTGGCCAGGCATGCTCTGCCAGCTCTCCTGCACACTATGTCTATGTCTGATCTTCTTTATCCCATGTCTGATAAAGACGTTAAAATGAGCTTCGAGTCTCCCTAGTTTGCCAGTCATAATATAAATGGTTTTGTGTATTATTTATGCCTGTGGATGTTTTTGAACATAGAGACCATATCAGTCTCAAAAAGGCTCATGACACCTCAGTAGAAATATAGGTGGCAGTGGAAGCTATCCAAATAACCATAGAACAGTGTGCTAAGAGATTTTGGAAACATTTGCCTATAATTTTTTTATTGACATTAATAGTATTGGAAATATTTTAATGGCCTAACATGTAGCTGAGCCATAATTAAATATAGTAGAATATTCTTGCATTGGTCATGGCACCCACATGTGCCTGTATTTAAATTTAAATTAATGAAGATGAAGTTTAGTTACAAATTCAGTGCCTCAGTTACACTAACTACATCTGAAGGGCTTGGTGGTTACATTTGGTTAGTGGCTATTATAGTGGACAATGCAGCTATAGACTATTTCCACCATCATCATGGAAATTTCTATTGGATGTTGCTGACTCAATGGAAACCAAATATTAGATAAAACGAGTTCCCACCATTGTCCTCCAACCACTGCATTCTCCTCTTTGGGGGCCACCAATGCTTTCAGTGTCCTTTTAAAATTTTAATCTTCCCGGGCCGGCCGAGTGGCGCGATGGTTAAGAACTCGCTTGGGATGCCAGAGGGCCCCGGTTCGGATCCCACATATGAGGGCCAGTGACACTGCCCTCTACAGCTAAGATGCTGAACAACAGCTCAACCTGGAGCTGGGCTGCCGTGAGTCGCTGGCGACGGCGTAGGCTGCAGTCCCTGTGGCAGTGGGTTGCCATGGGCTACCATGTGTAGCCAGCAGCCAGCGTGAGCGGCCAGCCGCCGCAGTGAGCGGCCGTCCAGAAGCCGGCGACTGATCTGCCTCTCCAGGGAAGAGCGCAATGATGGTGCCAACTTGGGCAAGTGAAGCGACGTCCTCCACAACTAGATTGAAGAACAAAACGACAGCAACTTGTCTGTTCCCCTTCCCCAATCCCCCAGCACTGTTCCAATCCCCCCAATTCCCCAATAAAAAATCTTTAAAAAAAAAAATTTTAATCTTCCCAGAGATCTTCTGTGCATATATAAGTGTGCTTTTACTGAGCTTTCAGTCCCATGAAACATGCACCTCAAACAACATACCTGAGAATGTTGCATACCAGTACAAAACAACCTTAAGTCTTTTATGATGACATAGTGACTTGTTGAATGAGTGTACTGGTTATGTAATAGTACTTTGATTGTTTCTAATCTTATGAAAAAAGGTATAAAAATTATGCAGTGTATCTCTGTGCCATTTTGGACATGTAAATATGCTTGTAGAATAAGTTCCTAGACCTAGAATGGCTGGGTCAAAGGGTATCTGCAATCAAATTTTTAACACATCCTCTACTAACACTGTCACCATCCGCCAAGAGCCCGCATTATCCACATCTTCATGTACAGTGTCACTAAACCTTCTTGTTCTCCATCAATTTGAGAGGTAGAGTAATAGTAGCTCCATCTACTATTTATTTTTCCATGAATATATTGAAACTCTTGCAAGAGTAGAGAGAATAATATGTAATCTACCCCATTACCCAACTTCACCAATGGTTGATTCATGACCAGTATGCTTTTGTCTAAACCCTCAGCAATACTCTCCCCTCAAGATGATTTTGAAGCTGGTTCCAGGGGTCATATTCCTTATTTGTGAACTCAGAGTTCCTGTGTATTTGTATCTCTGTGAATAAGAATGGAATTGAGCACTTTTGGAATGTTGAAAGCCATTTGTGTGAACTTCCAAATGAAAAACCTGTTGATAAAACTTGACTATTTTTTCCCCTATTGGGTTTTTTTCCTACGATCTGTAGGCGTTATGCACTAGGCAAATTAGCCATGCTGGATGTGACATGCATAGATGTTTACCTAGTCAGCAGTTGCCTTGACAGTTTTAATGATGTGGGCATTTTTCATCTAGTCAAGCTATTCCTATATGGCTGAAGGGTGTTGCCTTATGTTTGTTTGCTTCTTCCACCTAAAGGTGTCACTCTTTCATTGTTTCACCTCCCTTCTCCCTCTGTTTCTGTCTCTGTGTCTCTGTCCCTCTGTCTCTTTCCTCTCTGTCCCTCTCTCCTCTCTATCTCTCTCTGTGTCTCTCCTTCATCTCTGTGTCTCTTTCCTCACTGTCTCCTGTCTGTCTCCTCTCTGTAGCTCTGTCTCTGTCTTTCTCTGTCTGCCTCTCTCCTCTCCATCTCTCTCTCCTCTCCATCTCCATCTCTCTCTGTCTCTTCTCCATCTCTCTGTCTCTCTCTGTCTTGTTCCTCTCTGTCTCTCTGTCTTTCTATCTCTTTGTCTCTTCTCTGTCTCTCCATCTCTCTCTCTCCTCTCTGTCTCTTTCCTTTCTCTCTGTCTGTCCCCTCTCCCCTGTCTCCCTCTCCACTCCCCTCCTCTCATTCTGTCTCCAAACACTTACCTGGATTCCTCATCCTTTTGATACCATAGCTCCTTTTGGTACCATAGCTCATTCTTGAAGTTGAGGTCTGCCCTAAGTGAGATGTTGGTGTATTTTCCAGCTCAAGTATTGAGGTCAGAGGCTGAAACACATGTTCTGTGACAGCAGAGGGGAGCCTGGGCCCCTGCAGTGAGAAGCAGCGCTTCCCAGGACAGCCCTGCAGGGGTGGGTGGGAGCCCCAGTGTTGCAGCCCCTCCTCTCTGTGTGTCACAGGGAACTGGAGGACCAGGTGTGGGGGCCTCCTAATCAGCTCTTCCTCTTTGTAGGGCTCTGTCATCTCTCTTTTCCTTGGAATAAAGTGAGGTGGACTGGAGCTTATAAAGAAGGCATAAGGATGATTTCCCTCCCCTTTTTGTCTGTCTTTATTTTGCAGTTTGTCGGAGTGTTCTGTCACTGCAGAGGGGTGTTGGGAGCTGGCTGACATCCTCAAGCACAATCATAATGTGAAGGTTTTGGATCTTGGGAAAAACCGTGTTCAGGATGAGGGAGTGAGGAGACTGTGTGAGGTTCTCCACGATTCGCTGTGTGCACTGAACACACTTGGGTGAGTCAATGCTGCCCTTTTGCAGGGAGCACCCCTCCACCCCATTACTCTGGGGTGGGGGCAGAGTAATAAGTGGTCAGTCACCTTGAGGGTAAGAAGGAGAGACATGGTGAGGGGCAAAGTTCTTCTTTTAAAAATCTCTTTGCTGGTAGGTATTTCTTTCAATCAGTATATTTTGGATAGAAGGTGCTGGGGGAAGTGACATGCCACCTGCCCTGTGAATCTTCACTCTCTATTGGGGAGACAGATTTTTCTTTACTTTTTAAAAAAATTATATTCTAAAATTTATTTTTCAGTTATAATTGACATACAGGTGTACAGCATAGTGATTCAGTATTAAGATGTTCAAATTGGCAGTTACAAAATAGTCATGGGGATGTAAAGTACAGCGTAGGGAATGTAGTCAGTAATGTTGTAAGAATTATGGATGGTGTCAGGTGGGGACCGGCCATATCGGGGGAGCACTTTGTAAGTGAAGGCAATTTTAACCACAATGTGATGTGTTTGCTCAAACCAATATGATGGTTTGGCGTAAGTAGAGGATTTGGGGTTTAATATGGCTCAAATGTAACCTGTCTTCACACAGACAATGGTTTATTATTTTTACAAACTGCTTAGGGGCTGAAGGAGACTGCACTGAGGAAGTTAGGTTTTGAGATGAACCTTGAAACAGGAGTCCTTGTCCCCACCCACCACCCATCCCCCAAAAGGAAGGGAGGGAAGAAAGTATTCACAGAGAGTGATGGCGTGTTCAAGGGCCCAGAGGTAGAACAGAGTGATGGGCCCGGGAAAAGGGAGGACACCATGCAGGAAACAGTCCTATAGGCCAGCTATGGTTTGAGTGCTTACTATGTGCAGGAAATGGGAAACCCATGGCAATTATCACTTCATGCTCCAGTGGAGAGACCCTAGAAGGGGGGTAACTTTATACCCATTCTATAGATGGGGCAACTGAGGCAAGGAAGTCACTTAGCTAAATAATGATGGGAACAATGACCCAATGCAAGTCTGATTCAGAAGCCAACTCCCCCCACACACACAGAGCTTTATTGAGAGATAGTGGACACATAACATTGTGTAAGCTTAAGGTGTACAATGTGTTGATTTGATACACTTAAGTGTTGCAATATGATGACCACCTTACTGTTGATTTGATACACATCATCTAATTACCACTTCTTTTTTCTGTGTGTGGTGAGAACATTTATGATCTACTTTCTTGGCAGTTGTCAAGTATATAATGCAGAGTTATTAATTATAGTCACCATGCTGAATATTACATCCCCAGGACTTATTCATCTCATGACTGGAAGCTTGTATCCTTTGACCATCATCTCCCCATTTCCTGGCCCTGACAACCCCCACTCTGCTCTCTGTTTCTATGAGTTTGGCTTTTTTAGGTTCCACATATAAGTTAGGTCATACAGTACGTGTCTTTCTCTGTGGAAACCCTGCCATATGCAATGGCATGGATGGACCTTGAGGGCATTGTGCTGAGTAGTAAAAGTCAGAAGCCAATACTTTTCACCACTTCTCTAACCTTCAAGAAATATCTTCAGGAGCAATATTCTTTACCTTGTAAGTAAAGAAGAAGCCACCAGATTTATACAAGCAACCCGGGGTCATATTTATGCTTTAAAAAGAGTGAGGTTCTGATTTTAAGCCCTCACTCTCCAGGTGTTTTTCTCTGGAGGCAGAAATGAATAAAATGTCTGCAGCAATTATTGCATCATTTTACTGATGAATCCCTTCCTGATTTTCAGTTTGCTCCCATCCATTCTCATTCTCCAGCATTGTAGCCTGAAAGCAGGTTCCTGCATATCCACATTTGTATGTACAGAGTTCCATCTTTACCATCTAAACCAGGGATTCTCAATTTTGGCACTACCGACATTTGGGGCTGAATTCTGTGCTGTGTGGACCATCCTGTCCACTGTAAAATGTTGAGCAGCATCCAGGGCTCTGCCCACTCGATGCCAGGAGCACCTTCCCAGTCCTCAAACATCCCCAAATCACCACTGTGAGGAAATCCCACCCCTGATTAAGCAACGCTTGTCTAGAAGACCAAAGGAATACTCTTAAAGGTACACATTCAAGGTCAGTGGTATGCTTTATAGCTGGTGGCATTAGACCTGAGATATTGGGGCAAATCTGTTTGACATTGGAGCCCATGTTTTTCTCATACCATGCTCTTCCTGTCCATTAAATGGTACCTTTACCTGGAAGCATCCTCTAGGTCCTACCCCGCCCCTTTCAACCTAAAGAAATAGATTCCTTCCCTCTACTTTTCATGCATTGGTTTTGCATGCATAGCCACATGTCACATTTTTTATAGACTCAGATGGAAATCCCTGCTATATTAAACTGACATAATACACGTTCACTGTCGTCTTTGTATTCCTAGTAGCTAGCCACCCACATGTTCAGATTTTGTGTTGTTGAATTGAGAAATAAGATGGAGGTTGCACAGTAGTGCTAGTGGCTTCTTACTTCCATCTTTCAAGCTGGCAGCCCTCCCTCAAACTGAACTGCTAAGAATCCACTGCCACAAGCCTATAGGAGCTCAAAACCATCTTCACCCCTCTGGTTCTCACTGGGGGAAAAATGGTTGAAGCAGATCACCCAGGAAAGCTCTTCATTGGTGGTCGCAATACAGAAATAAATGAGAAAGCCCTTGAAGCAGTATTTGGCAAATATGGCTTAGTAGTGGAAGTACTCTTAATGAAAGATCGTGAAACCAACAAATCAAGAGAATTTGCTTTTGTCACCTTTGAAAGCCCAGAAGATGCTAAGGATGCAGCCAGAGACATGAATGGAATGTCCTTAGATGGAAAAACCATCAAGGTAGAAAAAGCCACTAAACCATCATTTGAAAGTGGTAGTTGTGGACCACCTACCTTCATGTCCAAGAAGCAGAGGCTCTCCAAGAGGCCTTAGAGGCAGAAGAAAAAGAAATGGAGGAACCAGGGGACCTCCCTCATGTGGAATGCACATGGATGATGGTGGCTATTCCATGAACTTTAACACAAGTTCTTCTGGGGGACCACTTCCAGTAAAACGAGGACCACAACCACGAAGTGGGGATACTCCCCCTAAAATATCTGCTCCTTCAGTACCAGTTTGCAGCAGCAGTAGAATGGGAGGAAGAGCTCCTATATCACATGGAAGAGAGAGTTATGGAGGCCCACCTCAAAGGGAACACTTGCCTTCTTGTA